ACAGTTCAGGTATGTCAGGCAAACCTCGGCTATGGTCGCATATGGGTTCCAAAAGATTTCCGGGTAGCTATCAAGATATTCTTGAAGTGTGAAGTGCACTAAGGGGACCGTTGAGCCCGTTTTATCGATGGTAATAAGTCCAAGGCATGAGGCCAACGATGTCTGTATGGAGGGGATACTTTCGGGGTTGAGATAGTTAGACCCTACTTACACTCTGAGGGTGCGACATTACTCGTCCTCAGTAATTGGCCGCTCAGGTCGAGAGATCCACATCAGAGCGGCAATGCCAACCCTCGACTTGACCTCTTCGTAGTATTCACTCTTGTCCGATGCCACATGATAGGCGTCGCCTAAACCGAGCCCACCAGTTATTCTCATGAGCTATTCCCGCCGGCCGTAGATTGTTGCTTCCACCTATTAAAAAATTCGAGATCGCGGCCGCCGTGAAACGAACGAGTGATATCCTGTGATCGACAACAAACGCCAAGGGCTGACTAAAAGGATTGCACAATTCACGGGCGGGGAAATCTCTTCACTTCTCTCTCACCACACTCATCTTGCCCAACTAACTCGATTTCACTCACTCACAACTAACTAACTAACCGGTAGGGACAGGAGTATATATCAACCTCAAACGACAAACAATAAAGCGCGAACAAATCACAAGCTTCCCCGGTCCCCAGGTAAGTCCCACATCTCCCTCGCAAACAAATACAAACTGACAAAGGAAGGACAAACTTCCGCCATCCTTCCATAGCCTCCGCTAGGCTTCCCTCGCTTTCCTTCCTCGCGCATCCAATCCTCCGCGCTATCCGCCAAAGCGCTTTCCCGGCACCGGAACTGCTTTCCCGGAAGCCAAAGTACGTCCCCCGAAAAGCAATCAAACAAAGGAAAATACTAAGTACCGTGCAGCAAAAAAACAATATCCTCCGATCTTCCCACACCGGTATGCTTTCCCTTTCCCTTCTCGAAGACCTCTGTGCTAACAAAAAAAAAACATCACAGCCTCGCCCATAGCCTTTCTGCTTCCCTGGCCGTTCCCCTTCTGCGCCTTCTGTTTGCGCCTTCTGGAAGCCTCCGCATATTCCCGTTGCCAGAGCCCTTCCCCGGAGAATACTAACAAAGAAAAAAACTAACTAGCGCGCAAACAGGACAAACATCGTACGAATGAGCGAATGGCTGAGCGAGCGAACAAACAAACGAACGGACGGACGGACGAGTAACGGGGATAAAGGGGAGGAAGGAAGGAACAGGGGGGGGGGGGGCATGCCGAGCAGCATGTCGGGATTTTCAACACCACCAATATTGCTGTGGTGTTTGTGAAGCGGGTAAAAATCTAGGCGCAGTCGTCACCGACCACCCAAGACCCAGACACAAAAAGTGTCATCAGATAGACTCCCGAGATTGGTTCCCAACTTGCTTCATGATTTCAGCCTCAAGATCGGTGTTCATTGCTTCAGATTCGGGGTCTGTGTCCAGAATAATCTCCAGGTATTTCATAACGTCCTCTATTGCCGGCGTTGTCTGGAAGTGCTGTGCACTCCCGGGGAAATGTTTCTCTATCTCACGCTGGATATGGGGCTTCCCTGTGGTGAATAAACTTATTTTCAAAGACCTCCGGAAAATTGTATGCAATAAGCGTAGAATTTCGAGTAGATACTTCCCGTGGAATTTGTCTAAGGTATTAGTACAGATGGAAGCCCTCTTCGGTGGAGCTAATGCGGCCTGTAGGAGGGGAAGGAGTTCGGCAATTTGAAGACCTCGACCGCTAACCTGACTCTCTGCTCTCTCCGGAATGCACCGCCGATCCCCCTGAGAACCATTCCTAACCCCTCTACAATTTCCTCGAGGAGGGCGCCCAACATGTCCTCTGGCGTCTGGATCTTTTGTTGCTAGGAGTCGCAATAGAAACATGCGATGGGGAATTTTTGCCCCATACTCTGATCGCATAGCCCATCAATCGCCAGAGAGCTAGTGGCGCCCTTAGTTATTGGCTCCTCCTGCTCTCTATTCATAAAACTAATCCTCCTTCCGACTGTATCAAATATACGTTTTCCTAATGCAGGAGCACTCGAACAAAAGAGAACATCTTGGCCAGATCCATCCTTGCCATCGCGCCAATCGCTATCGCTTTTCAGAATTTATTCCCCTACACCATCTAGCCGGCTGGTATGCACGTCAGGATTTTTCCGTGGTAGCCACTCGGGGACCTGTGGTTTTTCATCCACATATATAGTGTTGTAGTTATTTATCACTTTTAAACTATCTTTGTGGTCTGTCTCTGTAACACTTGGATCGATCTCGGTCCGCGGATCTACCTTTTGCATATGTTGTAATATCACTTTGTTCAAGAGTAGAGAAAAGACTTGTCTCCCGTCCCATCTCCTGCGAGAAGGGAGTACTGTACTAATACACTACATGAGTTTAGCAGTCACTTTGAACCGCGTGTCCTGTATCATCCAAGCCAGTTTCCCAATAGGACCTACTCGGACCCTCCAGTTCGGGATCCCTATACCAAACAAATCCGATGCGGTAACCATCTAGTAACCGAATCCTGAGAAGCCACATCTTCCAACAGCATATTGTCAGGTGGCCACGAGTGATAGTGGGTGTCCAGGGTGTCGGGGCGCAGATGGAATAACTCGGGGGGTCGAAACGGGTGTAGAGAGTGGGCCTGTTCGTCCCTATGTTCACCCTATGGTCTTTCGTGCAACCGTATATGATCCTGTACCTGATAGGCCTTCTAGCGTTGAAGGTTTCTTCCTCAAACCCCTCCCTTCCTTCCCTTCCTCCCTTCCCTCCCTTCCTCCCTTCCCTCCCTTCCTCCCCCCCTTTCTTCCTTTCCTTTCACCATCATCATCAGGCTTCTCAATCACTCCTCAGACAAACAGATGCTCATCAGTCCGCTCCCTTGCGCACTCGCTTGGGCCTCCAGATAAAAGCCTGCAGCTGATCTAAATTTTCTATCCCCAGGAAAGATATACTTGGTGAGGGGGATATCCCCTCAATGAGCAAGACATCTCTTTGACCCGGTAAGGAAATTTCCTAGTAGAAGTGTGCTCCCTCTATCCCCGCTGTTCTCCCTTCTCCCATCACGTGCTCAACAGCGTTCGCAGCGGTGAAAAAAAAACCATAAGCAGGATACAACCTAGCACTATTGCAAACATCGTTGTCACTACCGACGAGCCCCTCCACAGGTCTCACCACAGGGCAGTAAAAATGAAAAAGAGGAAATTGAACATTACAAAATAAGACTTCAGGGCAGCACACTCTATAATCCAATTTTGAAGAACAGCTCGCAATACCGGCTTCCTATGCTTCATCCTTCTCAAAGGTCCCCCAATATTCCCGATGATCCCCAGAAGATCCCTACAGCCATCCACTAACCGGCGGACACCGGTGTCCCCACCATGGCCACCTACGGAGTTCGATGTATTTTTATTGCTTGGGTCACCGCCATTGCTGAAAACTACTGCGTTCCGAAACCGGGAGGTAAGGCTAATCGGATGGAGTATAAGATTGGTATCTCCCGGACTAGCTAGCCCGGTGGTCTTCCCGAGTAGCCACTGAAGCCTGCGGGGGCGTACCAACACTGGTTTCATATACTATACTTATAAAGGCAACTCTTGAATAGGATCGCAGGACGTGAAATACGATCATGCGTGGCCTAAACCTCTCAGCGGACAAGGTACCCACGCGAAGGGGGTGGGGGTAGATGGCGGATTGCTAGGCTGACAGCCCCCGTCACTTTGATCATCAAACTTTCATGGCTTTTTTAGAAGTGTGCAGTACTTGGATTCACTGATACTATTATCTATTAAAATACAAAAGCGTAAAAGGCTGGCAGGTGCCACTTGCCTATCATTGCAGAAATTCGGAATATTAACAAAACTGTGGGATCTAGTAAGGTATGTGTCCAATAGAGAAGGAGTAACGAGAAGAAGTAACATGAGAGTGAAACCTAGCCAGCCATGCACGAAGTTGCGTAAAGAAAAGATAAGAAAGGGCCAAAAGGCCTAGTCTCAGCTCGGGCTCAATAAATGTTTGCTAAGAAAACCACTACACTATTGCTCCCTGAAGCGATTGATGGGTTAAACAAAAAAAACAAAAAAACAGAAAAGCCTTAAAGAATAAGCGAACAGGAGCCCAAGAGCAACATGAAAAACTTTTGGTCACTAAGGGGATATTTTATGTTATAAGTAAGCGACTCTAGCGGAAACTAGGCGCGGCTAGTGCAAGAGGAGCAGGTGGTATAGAAGCAGAGCACGCCAAACTACAAATGCCGAGTGAAGAGAGTATCCCGCGCCTACGTACGAGCAGGGTTTCAAATGACGTGAGGGGGCTGCGGTAGAAACCCAGCAAGTAGTGATAAGGACTATGATAGGGAAAGGGGTAACTAAGAAGGCTTTTTCCGTTTGAATGTGATATGACAGAGGATCCTTCCGCAAAGGCCGTGGAAAAGGTGGCGTCTCCGTGATCGCGGTGAAGTCCCGAGAGACTCAGACGCCGTGGGGGCTAGCGGAACAGGAATTTCTAGTGGTGGGGTGGGGGGATATTGTGTGGGGTTTTGGGTGGGCGTTTCAGGATTTCTGCATGGAGTATCTCTCGGGGGAGAGGGAAGCGCGGGATGTTGGGCACTTTTGGGGGGGGGTGTCAGTGGGTGTATTAGGTGGTTGTAGTGGTCGTTGCACTAGCAATTCCGCCTCTTGATCATCTTTGATAGTGGGAAGATTAAAAGCTGGGGAATAGTGAAGTTGAGCAGTAGGCATGGTATCCAAGCACTTCCGAAGAAGCTCGGCGACTTCCGGATCGTCAATCAGGTCTCGTGATCGGGGGTTGGCCGCCCCGAGATGCAAAAGGATCTTCGCTATCTTCCTCGATCCACTTTTGAGAGCATAAAAGAGCGGCGTTCTGCCATGGTTGTCTTGCGATTCGGGGTTGACCTCTTTCCGTTTTAGAAACAACTTCACAACTTCTGCTCCGGCCCGCGGAGCAGCAGCAGCGTAGGAGAGGGGTGTTCTACCCTCATTATCCTGCAATTCTGCCCTGACCCCTTCCAGTTCGAGGAACAGCTTCGCGTTCTCCACACTTCCAGATTGGGCTGCGTAAAAGAGGGGTGTTCGACCCTGCTTGTCCTGCGATTCGGCGAGGACCTCCTCCCGTTCCAGTAACAGCTCCAAAGCCCGAACTTCTCCCGTACCCGCAGCGTAGGAAAGGGGTGTTCTGCCCTCGTTGTCCTGCAGTTCGGCGTTGACCCCCTTCCGTTCTAGAAACAACTTCACGACTTGGGCTCCCCCC